GGGGAGGGGTGTGGGGTTCTGTCATATTATGTATAATTGTTTGATTGCCAAAGTTAACTTTTGCTATCTTTAACCAAATAAACATCCCTGAATTTTTCTGTATGCCTTCAGTAAATTTACAGTATTCAATATATATTTTATAGCAAACAAATAAAGAAAAATAACTGAAATTTTTGATGGAAACATAATGGTGTTAAAATTGCATGGGCCATTAATGATGTAGGAACAAATATGGCAAGAGAAAAAAATAAGAACAAAAATGAAAAAAGAAAGCATATTTTTATTTGTACAAAAAAAGTTTTGTTTTCAATAAAATAAAAACATTCTTACTCATTTAAATTACCCTAAACATGTAGCTATGATTACTATTATAGAAATATCTCTTTGATGAAGAAATAAACCAAAGATTTCCAAGTTGTTTTAATGTTTCATCCCTACCTACAGCATGAACCATTGAAACCCATTTTTTTATCCTCACCAACCATCAGAGCCCTAAACCATTTCTCCACTAAATGGTTCATACCTAACTACCTACCTGTTGAAGCTCTAAAACCTTCCCCACTTTTTAAAATGGTTCATCCCTGCCTACCTCAAGAACCATTAAAACCAATCCTACTTTTCATCTCTACCTACCTCTTGAAGCCCTAAAATGTTCCCCACTTTTTTAAAAGGTTCACTCGCTTGTTAAATGGTATATCCCTAACTACCTGTTAAACCCTAAAATCTTCTCTACATTTTTTATTGGTTCATCCCTACCTACCTCATGAACCATTAAAACCATTCCTATATTTCATCTCTACCTACCTCTTGAAGCCCTAAAATGTTCCCCACTTTTTTAAAAGGTCACTCGCTTGTTTAATGGTATATCCCTAACTACCTGTTAAACCCTAAAATCTTCTCTACTTTTGTTATTGGTTCATCCCTACCTACAGCATGAACCATTGAAACCCATTTTTTTATCCTCACCAACCATCAAAGCCCTAAACCATTTCTACACTAAATGGTTCATACCTAACTACCTACCTGTTGAAGCTCTAAAACCTTCCCCACTTTTTAAAATGGTTCATCCCTACCTACAGCATGAACCATTGAAACCCATTTTTTTATCCTCACCAACCATCAAAGCCCTAAACCATTTCTCCACTAAATGGTTCATACCTATCTACCTATCTGTTGAAGCTCTAAAACCTTCCCCACTTTTTAAAATTGTTCATCCCTGCCTACCTCAAGAACCATTAAAACCATTCTTAGTTTTCATCTCTACCTACCTCATGAAGCCCTAAAATGTTCCCCACTTTTTTTATTCCTACTTTTGCTAAATGGTTGATTCCTACCTACCTCTTGGAGTCCTGAAACATTCTTCACTTGTTTAAGTGGTTTATCCTTACCTACCTCTCCAAGCCCTATAAAAAACGTCCCCATTTCTTAGATGGTTCATAGCTCTTAAAACATGAACACTTCTCTCACTTTTTAATAGTTCATTCTTACCCTTATAAAAGTATTTTATGTGTATGAAAATTTATCTTCCATTGTACTGAACTACGACATACATATTGGAGTTTTAATGAAATGAACTCTACACTATAATTTTCTTTTGTAAATTTCACAACAATTAATTGCATTAAATTCAACAAAACCTATTCAGCCAATGACCACAAAAGTGGACAGCACATAAAGTGAAAAGCATGTCCCGTACAGAATTGTCGTCTGTGCATAGCACCATGTAAACTATGGCATTCTTTACAATAGTCTTAGTTGATACAGAACATGGTGGTTATTTTATTGTAATTTTGACATATGACCTCACTGTGTACTCCAACTGAGAAGAGACAGCCTCAAAGTGAGCCATTCATATTCAACAAAGCATGGCATACTTCAAATATCGCAAACAGTCTTTATCTGTGACGAGCAGTTCCACCTTAAAATTTCTTTTCCCTTGTTTACAATAAACAAATCAGCCGTTACTAAATGACAAATCATCGCTCCGATAATCAATGACTGACAAGTTTCCTGCTAAGATTTAGAGCAATATTATCTCTAATTGTAGCCAAAACTAACTATTAAATAAATGTAATTTATTGAACAACAGACGGACACTACATATGTTAAATAGCGCGTGTATAGAATGCATTGTGTTGCATACAATTCCTACATTTGGAGCGACATGACCGACTTATGTAGCCTCGAACTGAGACATGATAACGATATCCATTCCCAATGAGCTCAACATGTGACTGAACAGACATATCTAGAGCTATTAGAATCACAGGAATGAACTATTTGAAAACAGAGAGGAGTAGACAGTAGTAGCTGGTGAATATAACAAATAATGTTAGCCAGTCTTAATTATTTCATACACGCATGGGTATATGTAGATTTCAAATCAATAGTACATGTACATGTATTAGAAAAAAACACAAACATTTAAGGCCAAGAAAAAAAAATTCCCTGTTTCTCGTTTCATGTAAATTTTAAAATGAGGCGGTGAGACGATTTTTTTTTTTTTGAATACTGAGCTAAAATAGGGGAAATTTGAGACAAGTGCGAGTACAAGCGCATTTTGGAATGCTTTAGAAGGAAAAAAACGATTGAGGCGCATAGTTCAAAATGATGCGCACGGAAACGAGAAACAGAGATATTTTTTTTCTCAGCCTTATGCTATAAAACACTTTACCCCTTTGAAGAGAAAATGTTGTTAATATACTATTAGCAAATGTCTGCTTTACTTTGTGAATGCATGACAAATGAATTGGATCATCGGCTTTGCAGAATACAGCAACACAGTTATAATTATTATTCTATGAAATGCATTTACACCAAGTGTCACATGATGATAGTTTTAAACCATAATCTTCAACAGATTTATTTAATAGATATCACCTTACCTTGTCTGGGTCAAATGTAGCACCGGATTCTATGAGTTCTTTGATTTTTCCAGTTTGCCCTTTACTGGCTGCCAGACGCAGTTTGTCTGACAATTGACCACCTAATGGGGTACTCATGCCCCTCAATTAAGTACTACCTTACCATACCTGTAAAATAATTGAATGAACCAAATTAAATATACCGTAATATCAATTAGGTTAAAGCCATTTATTTTTACATTCGTGTTTTTTGTTACTTATAGTACTGTGTCTTAAGTTTTGATATATAATAGTATATAATTGTGTATAGTAACATATTATCGTAGCTGCCTTAAAAAGACCTGAATGAAAATTAATAATTTAAATTGTTCTTAATAATAATATTGGGTCCCAAAGATTTTAGATACTGGATCTTCATTTTCTTTTGCATGGATTTCATGTAAAAAAGTTTCTTGATATCTCAAAACATTTTCCCACAATGCATTGCACACATGTTGGGAATATAATTGAATTTTGTTTAAACCCGTTAATACCATTAACCCCAATATTGTATGTATGTATTTTTACATTGACTTGACCACATAAGGGGTTAATGGTAACTATGGTAATGGTGCTACCTTTGACTCTCTTCTCTTTAGTGAACACCCTCTAATGCAGCTTTATTTTACAAATTTATATACTACCTTTATTAGATAAATGATGCATTAAATACGAATATATCTAACATGAAAAATAACAATTAGTAATTTATTTATTGGTGTATAGGCATCTTGCTCTTAAAATTAATGGTTGCCTCTTATCTGACATTTACCATATACCATGTGTTACCTATGTGAAAGAACACTCCTATTAAGAACAGTGTTAAACAGATGTTTCATTGAATTGTAATCTATCTGACCCTTACAACAGTGCAATCTAGGCTTCAAGTCCGTTTATAAATAAAAACATGGTGTAAAAATATGTATGTACTCAAGTTTTATTCAATTGTAAACAATTCATTCAGCAATATTAAAACAGACGCTGCAGAAAGTGAAATATGATTAGTAATGAACCATAACTAGAAATGAAACAACAAAGAAACAATTTACACGCTTGTTAAGGAATATATTTATTTGTCAAAAACATTTTTGAAATTAGAAAGTCTAAATATACAAATATAATTTCTGTATATTTCATCATATAATTTCTTTTTGTTTTCAATTTTAAACGAATTATGCAATTACTTTTTTCTTTTGAAAGCATTTCCATTCTCCTTTGTAGAACGACCTAGTGTCAATAAAGTTACTATCATTCAATAGATCTGAATTCAGGAAAACATACATCAATATAAAATCCAAAATAAAATAACTATAGCACATTTGCTCTTAGTACCAGAGATGTATTTCAAATCACGCTAGTAGATTATGGATGGTGGTTGTCATGTTACACACTTCAATTTTGTGTAAATAAACAATCTGTTTGTCATGCATCCTACATGTTGTGTAGAACCAATATTGAAAACAGAAAACAAGTCATACTGACCACTGCCAAAAATGCAATGTAATGTAAATGTAACACCACATTTTAATTCATTGTTCAATTTTACAGTGTATTTCTACTTGCCATATGACCTTCCAGTACAGTACCAATATAACACTAAGTAATGATATACATAACAAATATTAGTTGAATACCAAGATATACAAAATAGACACATTGCAATAAAATCTGACGCAAAAGTAAATTCCAACTTCTTGAATAAATAAAAGTTATTTTTGATTTGAGTTGAGCCATTATAACCACAGGATTTAATCTGATACATGACTGCACAGTAGGAACCCATTACAAATTACTAGCATCAATATTTAACTAGTCTCATATTACATCCACCATCTCACACATATGGTACAGATGAATCTATACACCACCAACAATTTGTAACTAACACTTGTAAGTACTGATGAATCAATCCCAGGAAATTAAACTCTGGTTGCAGACAATTATTATAGCATTGCGTCACTAATTTATACAATGATTTGACTTATTTACAGCATTGCATCAATGAGTTATACAATGATCTAACTTATTTATAGCATTGCATCAATGAGTTATACAATGATCTAACTGATTTACAGCATGGCATCAATGAGTTATGCAATGATCTAACTGATTTATAGCATTGCATCAATGAGTTATACAATGATCTAACTGATTTATAGCATTACATCAACGAGTTATACAATGATCTAACTGATTTATAGCATTGCATCAATGAGTTATACAATGATCTAACTGATTTATAGCATTGCATCAATGAGTTATACAATGATCTAACTTATTTATAGCATTGCATCAATGAGTTATACAATGATCTAACTTATTTATAGCATTGCGTCAATGAGTTATACAATGATCTAACTGATTTACAGCATGGCATCAATGAGTTATGCAATGATCTAACTGATTTATAGCATTGCATCAATGAGTTATACAATGATCTAACTGATTTATAGCATTGCATCAATGAGTTATACAATGATCTAACTGATTTATAGCATTACATCAACGAGTTATACAATGATCTAACTGATTTATAGCATTGCATCAATGAGTTATACAATGATCTAACTTATTTATAGCATTGCATCAATGAGTTATACAATGATCTAACTTATTTATAGCATTGCGTCAATGAGTTATACAATGATCTAACTTATTTATAGCATTGCATCAATGAGTTATGCAATGATCTAACTTATTACAGCATTGCATCAATG